GATTACAGAAATAAGCATGAATGTCAATCTCGAGACAGTTGATACCGTTTACATGGAGCTTGAGCAAAACTATGTCCCCTGGGCTTTAGAGTGCAGCTCAACATGTAGTCTTCATGGTGTCCAGTTTCTGTCACGTGGTAGTTTCGATATTTTATAACATAGAATATCAATGTCACGTAATCGGGCGTGCATTTCCAGGATTTCATAAATAAATAAATAAATAAATAAATAAATAAATAAATAAATAAATAAATAAATAAATAAATAAATAAATAAATAAATAAATTAATTAATTAATTAATTAATTAATTAATTAATTAATTCTGATTACACAAGGTGCCATATTTTGTACGTGTAATTTGGGGTCACGGTTGTTCTGGTCTCATAACAAAAAAAATGGCTAAACGGTATGGCATTTCCTTAAAGGGACACGTCACTATGGATGAAAGCAGTGAATTGAAAATCGACTACTAGTAGTACTTGGCACTCTCGTGCAATGTGGATGGGTATAGTAAGACACTCCATACTTATACTTTTCAGACTAAAATCATTAACATTATTGATATTATTTATCAATTTTGTTCTGAAATGAAGACAGTCCATACACATAGATATATCACAAACCTAAGAGAGAGGATAGCTGGATACAGAAAATAAAAAAGGCATTTTACGTTTTTACAGCAAATAAAATGAAAGTTCCATTTACAGTAAAAAATAATATATGTGATAATTTGTGTTTAAGAATCAAAATAAAAAAAAAACATAGTATAGTGAAGACCGGCTTGTTCGTACCAATAATTCTACCTTAATAAACGCCACCCTTCACTTATTTTTTGCTCATTTGAACATGGGTTGTGTTTCAAAAATAAACTTTTACCTCTTTGACAAGTTGCAGGAGGGGTTCATTCGGGTGAAAGTGGAATGATGATGGTTGGGTTGGGGCGTAGCCGCGTTCTCAGAAGGTGGACCCAGAAGAGACCGGCCCAAATACTTGACCTCCCGAATTCTCAAGTTATGGGATCTACCATATTATGCAGTGTGGAGTTTGGTACGTGGTCGGTCGGCCATGAGAGTACTTGCCAGGTGTCAACTGCCATTTTATTATTCGCCTGTCATTTCACATAAACACCGGCTGAAACTGGAAGAAATATGCATTCCCAACACCAGCCCATCGCATTGCGTAGCACCGCCGACATCTATAAAATCTGTTTTGCCATTCACTTCCGAAGTTTATGAGGCATGTCTTATTAAATTTAATTAAAGTTCGACTAATCAGATTATTACAGCTAATCCAGTCACTCAAAACAAATCTGATTAAACTCCGACGTAAGTAAAGCCGAAAGCGCTGGTCTAACTTTTTCTGAACTTGAATTGTGAAAATTTACTAGTATTTCATGTGACCGGCTTTGTACACACGGGGACCCATATAAAAGACGACCTGAGTATATACCTACACCATACTTTAATCGAATTGCAACGTGAAAATTCCATTCATTTCCGTAAAGACGGTTATCGTAGAATTTAGTGACAGTTGAACCGAGCGTCTTACACACCCAATGTAAAACTTACTGATTGCTGTTTTGGACGGAGAAATTGTTTTTTTTAATAGGTGCGCGATGTGATATTTGAATATGATGGAAGTTACTACGGTGGTCTAGTCAAGAAGCCGCCGGGCACGTTCGGTACCTGACCCAAACATTATAGACGAACTTAGGACCGATTAACCAAAGGTAGCTTGGAGTTATCTAAACGTCTTTAGGAATGACCAATATTATTACTCACTTTAGGTGGGGGGGGGGGTTAGGTGTTAGAAAAACAACAATTTTACCGTAAAAGCATTTTGTCAAGGTAGTTGGCCGAATAAATATTTTATTGAACAATTTGAGCTGCATACATCCCTACATCGCATTTTCGTAGTGTGTAATTCTTTTAAAATTACATTCCTTTAACAACAATCTTTGTCCCAGCGTGTTAGGTGTTGAAATAGGTTAGCAATGTAAATAAGCAAGTAATCGGTGACTCTGACAGTTCTATCAGTCAATTTATACCGCCGCTAAGTGCTAAATAACGTAAACGATACCCGAACTTTAAACAATAACAAATAATTGTGGGAAAAGCCGGGGAAACTTTGTAAATCGTGGCAAAAGAAATGCTAACTAAATTGTCTCATTAAATTATTAGCGCATTGTGGGTGTGATATGTAATGTGTTTACACGCTCACAACACATCGTAAATGAAGCTATGTGTTCGATGATGGATACAACATAGAGACAGAAGACAGGAACACTTGTACAACCTGTTCAAATAGCCGCACTGACAGAACAGAAACAGGAGCCATGCCGAATTAAATAAATATATCACGCAATTCAAAAATGTCGCGTTAATTCCAACATCACAAGTTTTAGACTGTTTATCTCTATTTTTAGGTTTATGGTATATTAGATGAAGGTGAAATGAGCCATATTGTCACGTGATACTTGCCGTTTACTTCAAAGTTTTTACACGACTACTGCTTTTAACTCGGTTCTGTGTAGATATAGATTACACCACAAAACTACCACCCAAAGTTTGAGAAGTAAAATAAGACAGCTACCACCAGCTGTCACCGTCTTGAAACAAGTCTAGTCGGAGATAATTTCAGCTGAACTTGGCACATCCATGTGTGACCTGTTCGGTCAACCTTAATCGGTTTTAATTGCACGCATTAATCAGGCTAAATGATTATAATGTCAGAATGAAAACACTTCCGAATCACTTTCCGGGGCAGAGAGCGTATCATGCGTACACGTCTTTCTGTGTGGCAGCAGAGGGAATTAGAACAGATAGACAAGACTTCTAATTTTTGTGGTATATTAAATTAGTACAAGTAACGGCAGTGGTTAATGCAATATGAAGACAAAGTCGCCCTAATGACAGTACTGTCTCTGTGTTTATATTCCTCCCAGTACGCATATCTGTAAACAAACCCGATCTACAAACTAAACACAGCATACTCTCTCACGGAGCCGGCCCATTCGTACCGACCTCCGTTTTAAAAAGTCAGTATTTAATAAATTCATAACATATTTTGCAAATGCAGGGCGTGTTCACGTGGACAATTGAATTTGATTGACGGGGTCCGATCTATTGCCATTTATCTAACGATTAATGACATATTTACTAAACATCCTCCAGTGCTTATTTTCCAAATATATGTAACCAAACAAACAACACGTCTGTAGGGTGGATTCAGACTCTACGCTCGAGATAACCGAGGTTTTTTTTTCGTATTTTCGGCCACGGGGGACGTGAAACAATTCACTGGCATAGTTTACTCCGCGAATCACTGCATTAAAAAGGAGAGTTTATTTTGATTAAAATGGCCCCAATACAAAACCAATGTTATACTGTATCCAATTGTCCAAACAAGGCAGACAGTAGTTCACTGATAGTTTTTTTTCCTATACTAGTATCACAAGAATTTATTCGGCATTGGCTGGCCAATACACCGAATTACCACTACAGACCGGTTAAATCCGTAAGATTGGCAGGCCAATACACCGAATTACCACTAGAAATCACCGGGTTTGAATCATTCTGCTGTCCCATGCTGAAAGTGGGTTATGAGTATCACTTTCCAGAATACAGTGACTACAATTTACGAAATATTTGCACCAATACCACCACAACCGAAAGAGAGTTTATTATTTAATTTCCACGAAATTATCAGACCAAATGCAACCTATTGATTAAGACAGAATGCATATTAATTTCTGTGAAAACATGCATTATCACACGTCGAAGACTCAAACTTTCATGAAAATGGTGATGTAAGCGTGTTGTTGTTTAATTGTGTTGAGTTTTACAATTAATTGTGTTACCATGATCATAACAGCGTTAAGATTAAAGTCGACGATTTAAAGATCAGTTGAGTGTTGAAAATCGTAATAATTAAATAAACACATGTTGTATTTTTTAACATTACTATATTACACTAAACAGCTTAGTGTAGCGATGAAAACAGAAAACAAATAGAACTTATTTAATTTGTTTATTTAACCATTACGGCGTTCCCTGAAATGACTGAATTGCTTGCGATCTGGGATAATTTTGACATCCATTTTTTCGGGCTCCTTCGAATCTGACTGAATTCCCAGTTCTCAACTTCGCGCGATTCGATTGCGAACAATTTTGATAGGGGGATAATTGTCATCTTTTAAACATGTATTTTTAATCTTTATAACCCTTACATGGTCAAGTCAATTAAAAAGTACGAGGGATTGATAAGATTTGCGATAATGAAAGTCATATTTTCGAGGCAACTATTACTACAGTAGTAGAACACAACTCCCGCTGGGTCCACGGAAGCTGGACTTTCACATACTAGAAAGTTTCAGCTCCCACATGGTCTGGGCAGGCATCGAACTAACGAGCATATAGTCATCATTTTAAAATAAGTACTTCAATAAACACTCCACTCATCTAAATGAGTCTAAATCACCAAATACTAACAGAGAATTATTCGCAAAGTATATGTTCAGTATGATCAGATGACTGGCTGTATGAAATGTGAAGAAATCGCTAAATACTGCCAAAGTTATGTTCTAGTATATCCATTAGAACTGACCCAATCACTCATATATCAATGTTAAACATGACATTTACACCATATACTGCGGGCTTTCATGGCGAGCACTAACAATAATAATATGTAATACCGCGTGAGATTATCATCAAAGCTAACCTAACAATCTGTTTGAACACAAATTTTGTTTTACTTTGGGCACGATTTTTAGGATATAGGTTTACAATTGAGAGAATTAGTTGAACGAGGCATGTTCAGCCGTAAGTGTTGAGGCGGAGAATACAGTAATTACTAGGCGTAAAGAACGATCTTCAAGTGCATATTTCCGGGCAGTAGTAACACAACCACATGATAGTATACTCAATGAACGATAATTACAACCAACTTAGAACACACTTTTCAAACTTTCACAAAGATATTAAACAATACTCTTCGATCCGTGTTCACAATAAAAATATGTTTTAATCTATCAACAGTATATAATAAACATGAATTTATAAATCTGGTTACGTATAATAACCATCTCTCATCTTTGAAATATTAAACTTACATAAATCATATTCGTTTTGAACTTGTGGGCTTGGTCCAGACATTTCCCAAGTTTAACAACAGACACAAACAAATAAAGTCTTTCTGACATGAAAATACTATGAAAATGAATATATGATTTATTTTAGCCAGAAAATGTTCTGGTGCTAGTTTTAAACTTTAAACTGTTTCACGTAATTTATAAAATTGGTCCCTAACAACTTCGATAAGAGTGAAATAACACAAATGTTAAACCTAGAACAAATTATTAACTGACACAAACATAACGGCATGAAATAATCAATCGACACGCTCATTAAATGGTAACAAGAGTTTATACTTGCTAGGTCGCAGTATTGAATGCTTCTAAACAATTAAAATCCGATTGTCAATTAATGAGGTGATTACCGACGTGTTGCTTCTCGGCGGTCCAGTAAGCGTACGAGGACATAGCGGATTCAGCGGCATTGCGATGACAGGGGAACGCGTAAGCACTGTAACTCACGCTACCCGGGGTGGAACCATTCATTGTTGACATTGGACTCAGATCCACTTGGCTATAGCCGGGGAGCTGCATCGAGCCGCTGCTTGGGTAGTTTATTTCTACAGTCTGTGGTAATCGCGAAGGAGTTTGGCAACTGCTATAACCGAGTTGACTTGGTGTAGTTTGGCCATGATGAACCGCAGGCCAATTGTTATAAGCACTTGGTAGATATTTATGCGATAGTGGGTATCCCCCTCCATAGGTCGGATCAGCTGTCAGCAGCGACTTGGGTTCGTAGCATGCTGATTGCGCCGATGTCCTGTACGGTCTTGCCTTCATACGGCGACGGCGACGATAGTTTCCTTTCTCGAACATATCTTCACACGCTGGGTCTAGCGTCCAGAAATTTCCTTTCCTCTCCCCACCTCCTTCGCGCGGGATCTTGATAAAACATTCATTCAAACTTAGATTATGTCTGATTGAGTTCTGCCAACCTTTCTTGTTCTTTTCATAGAATGGGAACTTGTTCACGATAAAGTCGTAGATTTGACTCAAAGTCAGACGTTTTTCTTGACTTTCCCGTATTGCCATTGCGATTAAAGCAACATATGAATACGGTGGTTTGGGGTGGTTCTCCTCCGATTTCTTGTCAGTATCTGTTTCTTTTTTGACCGCCTCATTCATGGTCTGGATACTGCCGATCGGTTTCAATTCCACAACCTTGGCTAGATGTTCATCACTTTCCAGTCCGTTGCATCGGAACTTTTCGGCATCGGGCTCCTTCTTGATGTTAACTCGTAAATCGTTGATCACGTTCTCCATGTCTTTCTGTTTGATATAAAGATGATGTTACAGCGTTGGTGACAGCTCCGTCAATGTTCACCGATCATAGGATACAGCCACTTTCATGTAAACTTCGAGCGCCTGTGTTTTAAAATACGCTAACCCAAACACGGACAGAGTGTCTACATACGCAGGGAAAACTTTACACTAAAAGTAATCCCAGAAGACAAACTAAAACAAACAATATTTGATTCCCAGGGAAGCATATGTCAATCATTATAATATTATGGAATTCAAATTTTAAATAAATGTTAATTGTGAAAAACCACAAAAATGTTTATAAATTGTTTTACAGAAAACAACTGTACGCGCATTGATACATAAATTGGTACGGTGTACGCCGACCCTGTAGTGATGGTGACATCACTTGTTGGTGCTTCTTTAGCCCTAATACTTGTGTGACTCAGTGCTAATTTTGACAAACCACGTTGTTTTATAGATAACATGCACGGCATTACGTCAACTACAAATACATGCATGGCATTACGTCAACTACAAATACATGCATGGCATTACGTCAACTACAAATACATGCGGTCGAGTTTGCCATAAATCTCTAGGACAGGAGCTGGTAGAAAAACTGCAAAGTATTATCTCCACTTTAAGAATGATGTTGCTATGACTTTTCTCTTATTTTTCCAATAGAATATGTTTATTAAAATAATCTATGTATATATTTCAAAATCTACTGTTTCCTGATATAGCTGTCACATTTCTGAAAAGAAATCCATGAATGGTGCTTTTAAAGTTAGGCGGTGGTTCATATGGAAACATCGATCTTATAGTGAGGTTGTTAAGCATAGTCTACTGATATGGGAGGTACAATTCCATGACCCGTCTCTCTGCGCCAAGCTGTGACAAGGAATATGATGAGTTCTCAAATTCAACAGAACTACGCTGAAGTTATTTGTATATTTTTTCGTTTAGAGCTAAAATATTTTTCTTCTTCTGTACACTCCATCTTTGTTATTTTGTTACGCTATTCTCCATGTTTCTACACACTACATGCATCGAACACAAACTTCTTGTTGAGTTTTAACAACATTACTCTTATATCCCCATTTCATACTAACATTGCGCATGCGCATTAGTCCCACAAATTGTTTAGTCGACGTATATTGTAGCTTCAATTACACATCCCTGCTACCAAAAACTTGAGTGAAAAAAAACATTCATCATGTTTTCAGCAAACCCTTGTCAATTATCTCAAATGTAAGTGGAGTCCACGATGGACATTTTGATATTAGGGGTCAGATGGTGATTACGACAGGTCGCATTTCACGATAAATTATAATTGGCCATTGTTTGTATATCTCATATTTACTTTAACTTTCACCACACCAAGCAGTTTCCGTAGACGTCATCTTTATTACTTCCTTCACCTGCCATGTATCGGGTTATCAAGAATGACAACTCGTGAAAGTTACATCGAATAACTATAATATAAATAGTTAACCCAGCTCCATGCCAAACTGAGATTAGCGTGACTGTCAGATGTGTAGTCCACTGACGCGCCATTGTAATAAGTCACTGCAACATTGGATTTTCACAAGACAACAGCAACTTGAACAACAACACTAATTGCAACAACAACAACAACAACAACAACAACAACAACAACAAAAATAATAATAGTAACAACAACAACAATAATAATAATAACAACTATACAAAGAGCAATTTGGTCGATCTGCAGCATGTTCGAATTTCGTGTAAACAAACGATGTATTTGGACATTGTTCAAATATTCGCATTACCTCGTTCATAATACAGAAAATAGCAAAATATAAAAAGAAAACAGGGCATCACGGGTATTATCTAGTTAACCGTGCACAAACTCCAAAACTTTACAATCGCCTTCGCCCATAATTTATAACACGCATAAGTACATACCGTATATTCATTCACAATTCTGATTTAGTATGTCAATGCAAAATAGTTTGGACGTATTGAAGAATTTTAGTTTTCTGACATTATTAAAATGCGGTGACAAAAGTGTCCCAAGGATTAAGAACTATGGTATGATGGCGGTTTTGGAAGCATGACATAGCTATAGGAACTATTTAAAATGATTAAAAACTTTAAGATTAGTCTATTAAACAAGACTCATATCGACTTGATAAAGCTGTGCTCTTTAAGTCGGACAATATAAAAGCAATCCGATCCAAAGTATTAACAGAAAACTAGATATATTATAACAAAGGAAAGAATTTTGATTTCACATCAGTGTAATAGCTAAATTCATTACACAAATTAGGTAATTAATGTGAATGGATTGCAACGTCAAACTAAGCAATCACTTATCGATAGCTGTAAAAAATATTAGATTTCTAGCTTAATTCGCTTACCATTGTGAAATGAGATATCAATATTTACACATGTCGAGTATCAAAATATTAGGTTTTCAAGAAAAAGGGAAAATGGTCCAAACATTATTTTATGAATTTCAACGTCAAACTAAGCAATCTGTTATCATCCTTATCACTGTGTACAATTTGAGATATAAATATTGAGTGGGATATACGTATAACTGTATGGACAAATATTGAAATTGACATTTCATGATATTTTTATATCTTTACTTAATTGTCACTTACACGTACTTAACTTTAAGTACATACTGTAAAATACCTTATTTTCGCTTAGAATTAATTTTCACTATTTTCGCTGAAGGACTGATTCAGTGAAAATAAAACCAAGCGAATATACGCTTTTTTCTTATATTTTAATTCAACTCGTCAAAAATCAATGAAAATCAATTCCATACAAAACACCCAAAAAGTCTTTTCAGCGAAAATTAATTCCAGCTAAAATAAAGTATTTTACAGTAATATGATGATAATCATAATATTTGTGAATAGCAGTTGAAAATTAAACCCCATCTATTACTTGTTTTACCATGTTACCATATAAACACTGTTTTACATTGGGCTTTCAGATATAATGAGACCGTCGTTACTTTTGAAACCAATAAAAAATGCGGTTCCAAAATACATTTCTACCAGCATTTCTGGGAAAATACTACTGTGATCCCAACTTTGTTTACAGCGGTATTCTTCATCCGGGAAACAAAGCCATGTTCCAGGTTTATGAGTAGACTTTTGATTAAAGTAACAAGTACCACAACCATCGTGCTACACCGTGTTATACACGGATCCAAGCATGGGTCCGTGTGCTGTACAGCGCGAGTGCAAAATGCACAAAGTTATTCAAAGCACTTCGTGGGACAACTGTCTCGGTTTAATTCGTGTCGTGATGCCAACATAAATGCAACGATGCATGGAACTCAGTTTGAATAGCATTTTTTCCGAATTATTATAATTGTACCTACTTTTTAACAAGCTGCTTGCTTTTAGTCATAATATTATTTTTCTTTTGAGTTCTGACCCCACCCCTAAAATCCGCCCTGTACTTGAAAGGGTTCCATACCGAAAACTACACGGTCGACCAGCACGCACTTAAATCGTCACCATGATACTACCATACTACCATACTACTAATATTTTACAATGTACAGCAGGGACTGTGGTGTAGCCATTGCAAAGTTTGTTCTGCTTTTTACCCATCCAGTTTACAGATGGATGACCCCCTAACTCAATAGTTTACGACATTTTCAACATGTCCTAAGGGGTGGAGAATTGTTATACGCTCTTTGTGGCCAGATAGAGTTGAAAATCTTGACTATACCGTATTTTTCTTTATTTTCAGGATATGTTTGAGAAATTGTTGGTTGGTTCTATCATTTGTGTATGAGATTTTAAAAAGTATTCTTTGTCAGTTTTATATTTTTCTGTGTTCACGCCCCAAATGTAGTCAATCCCTGATCATATATCAGTAATTAGTTAATAATAAAAAAAAAAAAGATTTCAAAAGAAGGGATGTTATGGTCCGTCTACTATATTTAACCTTGTATTCTGAAACACAATGGACAGATTATATTATATCTTTGATATTTTGTCATTTGCGTTGGGGTTTTCACATTCAAAGGCACTAATTTAGGATAGGAAATCTTTTAGACACGATCTGACATTTGTTACTCTTTTTGATAAGTGTCACTTTCCACCATTAACCGGCTACTCTTTATGAGGACCCTTCACTTCCAAGGTCATGACACGTTATTGGGAGTATAGATTTATTATTGGTATGATCTTTTCCAATTATTTTCTTTGCAAAATGCAAGTTATATTTGACGATAAATGAGATATAATTGCAATTATTGCTGTTTTTATTACTACCCCCAAAAGTACATGGATGTTGGACCTTTATAGGTCATCGCATATTCAAGTCCGTTGTGTGTCACTAGTTTCTCTGAAATATGTTATCCCGATTTCAGTACCTGTGTAAATGTTGATAATGTGTAAATGTTGATTGGCCAAATATCGACAATTTTTTAACTTGAGCGAATCGACATATTTTCAATTGGTGAAAATTACGACCACGAGAATACAATCAGACATAAAAACTCCCCTATTAAACCGATTGAATGGCATGATTAATCAGCTTTATGTGGTTATCACAGCCAAGCGCGGGAGATTGCTGTAACCGGAAACGAAATTAAAGCGAAGTAAGGGTGTCAAAGTTGGTCCGGATATACTCCAGAAATGAGGCGTGATTATGATAAAGATCCGGAAATGTTGGCATAAAATTAGTGATAATAACGAATTGCAATACTTTGGCGACATGTTTAGCGTTTTCGAGGCGCCAAGTGACGAAAGTGACTGTCTCGGAGTGAAACGAAAAGTAACGAAGGAAATAAATCTTGAAACGAAGCACGAGTCTACGGAAGTCCGTGACCGTTTGTGTGAGTGTTTCATCGTATTGGTATGAACAGACGCACACAGGCGCCGGGACCGAGATAAGGGTATTGTAAGTTTCATCCAGAAAATGAATGATAGTTGCAGCCTCGTGGCGATCTTTTGTGATCGCGTTATCTGGTTCGACTATCGTGACACTGTGAACAACGGACGCAAATATTTACA